TTCTTCTACACCCCATCACCTAGCCCACTTCTCAAAGCTGGGCAAGTGCTCATTAAATAGTTGTTGAGTGAATGAAGAGAAAGACAGAAGGAAGAAACATATAGCAAGTAAAATAAAAGTTGCACAGGGCTGGGAGTAAAAGAGGGTCCCCAATAACGACCTCAACTTGGTCTGCCCTATGTATATATCACAGGTTCGCAGAAGTTATCAAACATCCCACTTTGGAAGCTAACATATCAAATGCTAAATGGGTGCCCAAAAGATCAAAGAAATGTCTAAATAACTCTGGTAACTGCCCTGATGCCCATTCAAACCCACTTTTTCCACCCCCTTCCTCAGTCACCAGATACACATAAATTTAGTTCAGACATTAAATTTAGATGTAGAGATTAGTGAGGGGAAGGAAATTGAATATAAAGTTCATGAAATAAATAGCATCACTTGTCACTGTTGATTTTTGTTAACTGGCTCTTCTTTCTGAAGCAATCTCTCTCTCTCTCTCTCTCTCTCTCTCTCTCTCTCTCTCTCTCTCTCCCCTCTCTCTCTCTGCTTGCAGGTAACACCCACACATATCCTTCAGCATTGGCAGAGATGCTCTCTCAGATAACAACTGGAGTTCATGCTGCACATTTTCATGCTCATGTGTCATCATCACCATGTAAAACCACAACTATAGGAAAACAAAGCTGTTTGCTGCTCTTCTGTCTCAACTGACATTTCCACCCAGCTCACAGTTTCTTCTTTGGAGACAAAGGAGTGTTTGAATCTGTCATTGAGATAGCTCTGCCTGATGAAGTATAAGTAAAATCCACTCCATTCTACCCTGAGGTCAATTTGCCATTCTACAATTTCTTTTTTTTTCTTTCTCCTTGTATTTTATCATTTATACATTTACTTACATGCGTATACATTATTTGTGCCACCTCCCCTCCTCCCCCCACCCCCCTCTACAATTTGTTATCCTCTTGGATTTCTGGCACTCCAAACCCTTTCACAGACTTTAAATGGGCAAAGATAGAGAAATGGCCTTGGGAAGCACACATCCTGGCCCTTTGTGTTTCACCAAAAGGTGAGGTCAGCTGAGAAAAGCTAATATATTCTTGGATCATCCAAATTTCCTCCCAAGCAACTTTTAAACATCAGGCCCAATGTCGACACCCTGAAACGTTTAAACAAAGGCACACTGAGAAAGTGTGTCATATTCGGCTATGGACACTGACGTGGGGTTCTAATTGGTGGGAGCCTGTGAATCTCCAAAGGGAAAGTACACCTTTCTCCTAGGAGGCCAAGTGAGAGAAAGTGGAGAGGTCCAACCCCTCAGACGTGTTCCTGAATAACCAAACTTCTGAACACAACCTAGATGTCAAGATTTAAGCAATGCCTCAGTTCAGGAGAACAAATAGACCCTAGGAGAAGCAAACATCCACTAAGGTGTTGGGGTTGTAACCAGACCATACCATTTGTTCCTGCTTAGTGCGGCGGCCAGGCCCCTGTTACAATGGATCCAGAAGTTTCTTTTTGATTTTTCTCGCCCATTCATTATCTCTGTTCCAGACAAGATGAGAGGAGGGCAGAGGATGTTGCTTAAAAAGGAGTGAATCCTTTTCTCTGACTACAGAGGAAAAGTGAACTCAGGTTTGTGAGCAATTACACAATTCATATAGTTGTGTATTTAGAACATGGCAGGAGGTCTGTCAGCAGAAGTCGTGAAATTTGCATTCTCTTTCATTTTGAACTTAAAAAACTTTCTTTTTTTATAGAACTAGATATCATTTTTATTAGTACAATAAAAGGAAGCTTATTGAGATTTATTGTGTGACTGGGTTTTTCTTGGCCAATCTGGTCCCCTTCCAATTGATTTGATTAGTCCTGTTAAACCATCCATGAGTGACTAGCTACATTCAGTCTTCCTTGAATAGAAGACTCATAAGTTCATTTTTATCAAGCTTTAGTTACTTTATTAAATCTACTAAGCCTCATTTCAACAAAGGTTTGGAGAAGAACTCATTGTACACCTGTTTGACTCCAGATCACTGTCAAAGTAATATTTGCAACCAAGGAAACAGGAGCTGCTACATGAATTTATGTCTGTTGTTCAAGAGCCAAGAGTCACCCTTATCTACAAAATAGTAGCAATGTATGTGTGTGTGTGTGTGTGTGTGTGTGTGTGTGTGTGTGTGTGGTTTTAATATCAGTCTGATTTGTTTTTTAATTAACATATATTGTACAAAGGGGTTTCATTCTGGTATTTCCATATATACACACAATATACTTTGATAAAATTCAGCCCCTGTTATTTTATAAGTCTGATTTGAATTTTCAACTTCCTCCAAATGCCACATTTTACTTGTTTGTTGTTGCTTTCTTATTTTGAAAGTATTGCAATTTATTAGAATGCTCAGCTATGACATAGCATAACAGGTAAAGATGCTGACGTTTTCTGTCTTCACAAGTTCCATTTTTGAGCTCTTTTTTAAATAGAGCCAACACAAGGAATTTATAGAATTTGTTGGGGTAAAGTCACTACAGAAAAGAGTAGATACGATTTTAACTACAAAGGCCTCATTTTCAAAAGTCTTAGGCTACAGATATGTTTAAAACATAGTTAATAGTCCAGTAAGAGGGAATTTGAGGACTTCGATAAAAAATAAACTTACTCCTGGCTGTGGCTTATTTATCATGACATTTTAGGACAATTCCTTCTAACTGTATTAGTTTTCTAGGCTGTACAAAATATTCTAAAATGTAAATTGAGTTATATCCATCATCTTTCCTTACACCAGATTTGGCTGTGTATGCTTTACCTCCAATTTCTCTAGTAAAATGAGTTGGGACTTAATAGTAAAGTGGAAAAATCAAAATGACTCTTTCCTTCTCATGATTAGACCATTTAGAATGACCACTGATTCATAAGCCCATGTGAAATTCATTTAATCAGTCAATAAATATTTATTGCATGCCAGGCACTAGTCTAGGTACTGGGAATACAGCAATAAACAGAGTTCTTTTCTTTATGGAGTTTACAATCTAGTTTGGGAGAACAAACAATAAGTAAAACATCTAGTATATGAAAAGGCAAAATGTAGGGCTGGCAGAGTGAATCAAGAGGTAGAGCACCTGCTTAGCAACCGTGAAACCCTGACTTCAAACCCCAGTTTCACCAAAAAAAGAAAAAGAAAGATGTAGAAAAGGCAAAATATTATGGAGAAAAATAAGCAAAGAAAGAAGACAGGGTATGAGGGGAATTAACTAGGGCAGAAGGTGACACTGGGACTGAAACCTGGAGGAACTGTGAGAGCAGCAAGGTCGACATCTTAGGGAAGAACCTTCTGGACAAATAGTGTGTGTGAAGGCCCTGAGTTGGAAACACGCCTGCAACATCCAAAGAGGAATAGGCCATAAAGCATAAACAGACCTACAAAAGGGAGATTTCTGAGCCTCACATGGCCTTGCAGATACCACAGACACTCACTTCAGGTCTTGAGAGTGAGTCTGTGCTACTGTCTTTGACCTGAATTAATTGTAGGTCTATGGCAGTGATGACCCTGATTCCATCATTGGTCACATCTCTAACCTTCAGCATGTAGTTGAATTTAACGCTTTGGAATCAATCCCCAAACCTGCTGCAGTCCCCATTGGACAGTGCAAATTCTGGGATGAAGGGTTAGACACCCATTTAATCATCCACAAACCCATTAAAATACCCATGCAGACAGTTGGCTCAGTTAGTTAAGCCATAGAACTGACTGATTCAAGGTTGAAGTTCGAGTTCTCTTACAGAGTATTCACATTGCAGAACACACAGGTAAGCCCAGCCTGACATCTCAAAGAGGTAAACCATTGGTCTGATAAGAAACTGTGACTAAATCCAAGCAAACAAACCAGAAATGTACCTTTCAAACTAATATTTGAAAGTCTGACCTAAAGAGTTGTGGGGGAAGGGCTAAACCAGAGACATAAAAGGATTTATCCCACATCTTTCATCCCCCCCTCACCTCTTTTAAGTAAAAAGTTTTCTTCAGATTCATTGCCAAAGTTAAGTATGCCTGCCCTAAAGGCAATATTAAAAACAGATACATGATAGTCTGGTAATTTTATCACTAGATAAAAAGAATATAATATACACTTTGTTTGTTTTTTTAAGTTGGCATGCTCAGCCCCAACCAAGTGAGCTCACAATCCAAAATTACAGAAACACCATTAATTATAGACTTAATAGCAGCAAATGACATTGTTTTCTTCACAATTACCATATCTGAAACTGCAAGAGCATTACTCCAACCACTGTTTTTAAACCATTTCTTCGTTCATAGTAATAGTGAAAATAGACTTCCCTATATAACATTTCTTTGGTTCTGTTCAGAGTGAGAAAGAAAAATAATCTCAAGTATGACTCATCTTTAGTAAACCTACTTTTCCAGTTAGAAAACAAAACCATTTATAACCAAAGATCAAATCTTTCCATTTTTAAAATACATATATATTTATTTATTTACTACTGCCTTTCTAAAAAGTCTCCAGGTCTATCATTTTCAAATACAATCTGATATTTTGGATTGAAAAGCTCTGTGTGCCAAGATGTTGGCCAAAAGGCACAAGTGCCAATCTAAAGTCAACAGTCCTTCACCAAATAAGTACTGCTGAATTTGACCTTTGCTGGATTAATTAAATGCTTGGAGTAGAAGCCCATTTAAAAATCAACCAGAGTACAATAGGCTAATAAGATTCCTATCCCTCCCCTCACTCCCACATTAAAAACAATTAAAGACCTCCTTCTATACAAAAATGTGGGGGAAAGAAATGCTTTGTATGTCAATGCATTATTATTATTATATGTCATACAAGGGAAAATATTCCAAGAAACAGGAAAATCACGTTAAGAGGTTTTCATATTTTATAGCACCTCATAAACTTGGGTTTAAATTTATGTTACAAATTCCCTCCCTTCTTAGGTCATTGTTCAGTTTAATTATTATATATAATTTATCTATATGGCAATAATAATAAAAGCTAGCATTGTATGTCAGGCATGCTATTAAGTACCAGTAAACACAAAGACAGTGGAATGTTGCCTTGACAGCATGCCATGACTGTCATGACAGCGGCCATGCCCCAATGGCGATTATTATATAGGAATAGACATTTGTGACCATTATGTTCATTTTACAGCCAAAAACCATAATCTTAGATGAGCAGTGACTTGTCTGAGGCCATTGAGCTATTTGAATCAGGTCTCTTTGCCTTTCAAACCTAGTCTCCTCTAACACACGAATTGAACAAAGAATTGAACAAATGGTAGAGGTGGTAGTAGAGCTACCCTTCAAGTTCCCCAGGCATACTCCAGTTAACCAAATTGGAAATAGCAAAATACTCGTGGTCATTTCAGGGTCAGGCCTTTGCAGTCTCTTGAGAACTTTGGTATTGTTTCAGAAGACACACTCCAAAAGACTTTTCCATGCCAATGGATTTCCAGGGCACATGGGCAGCTGAATGCACAGAGTTCTGGAACTTTGAGCCCCACAGCAAACACAGTCCCTCTAAAGGAGTTATCTCCAGAGCTCCTTATTCCTGATGCCTTCTGTAAAATTTCCACTCAATGCTGGCCACCTTCTTACCACATAGCAAAAATGATCTTAGTGCCTTCCTCAGGAGAAGTTTCTTGGAATTTATTCCTTGTACTCTGAAGAATTCTAACATCCCTTTTTCGTAGTATCATCATGTTCATCTGGCATCCCACTTCAGATCACCTCATAGACGACATTGAAATATATGCTTTGACTAGAGTGAACTGCTAAACAAATAATCGTCATAGTATGTCAAATAAAGTCATCTTTTTTCCTGACACATTCTGCTTTGTGTGGAAGGACTATTTAATTTTTTTGAAATCATACTGTGAACATTAACACTCTCAGGGCAGGAAGTGAGTCCATTGGTCAAACTGATTAAATGTGGCCAGAATTCATCAAAGACAATGTCTACACCTTTCTAAAATAACAAGAAAACTGCATTAAATAGGAACTAAATGGCTCATTTCATGAATGGGAAACAGTGTTTTCATAGTTTTAAAATATTTAAGTATCCCTACCATCTCCCTCATTGTAATCTATCCCCACCCCAAACATCCATTTAACCAAAGGGAATGACTTTTTAGCCTTCCTTCTCCATCCAAAATGTCCATGAATATCACACTCTGCTTGACTGAGTATAGGTGAGGAAGCATCAGGACTCAGCCAGCATCCCGAAAGCAGACTTCAAAGCTAACAGAATCCATTCACTTTTTGTTTTCTATTCTAACTTCTCAATCGAGTCAATAAATACATAAGTTTGAATTTGGTCATGGCACTGCAAGACTTGGCCTGCCACAGGAAATTTCTTTAACTTCACTTCAGAGTCTAAAGATGATCTTGATATTTGGTCCAGATACTCAAGAAGATTGGCATTCGTGACCCAACAGGGGCTCAAGGTGGCCGGCTGAAGGTTAGGTGATCTTTTCCTATCCAGAGCAATGGTGTTGAGCAGGTGGAAGGGTGCCAGCCAACTGGCTTCTGGATAGGTGTCCCTGTCAGGGGCGGTAGGCTGCAAAGTCTCTCGCTGGGGCATAAGGTTGATAGTGCCTGCGAGTGGGCCCGGGCCTTCGGGGCGTCATGTTCATGTAGTCACTCTGAAGAAGCCTGGTTGTTTTACTCTTCATCTGCGGAAAAGAGAAATGACAATGTGGAAGAAGGTAGAGGAGATATCAAGGGAGGTATTCCAAGACTTTGGGGACAACAATTCAGAACACCAATCAGATGACCCTGAACACCAGCATTTCTTAAGGACCATGGACTTGGACAATGACTATTCAAATCTAACTATCAGCTCTTTTATATTAACTTGAAAAATCTCAACCATAGGAAATATTTTGGAAAAATGTGTTCATGGTACTCTCAATTCTGTGATTTGATCTGAATTCCAAAAATGTATCTGCTTAACATAGTCACTATTTATACATTTGAAAGCCTTCCTCTTTAAATAGCATTTCCATTGCAATAATCTTACATTAATCATTTTCTTAACATGCCATTTTTCTTTTTGACATTACTGGGGTTTGAACTCAGGGCCTTGCACTTGCTAGGCAGGTGCTCTACCACTTGAACCACTCTGCAAGTCCACCATTTTTCTTTAATTAAGCAAAAAGGACCTTTGGACTCTCCAGAGTTTGGAATAATCATAAACTTATAGCGGTGGAGTTGAAATTCACAGGGATTTACAGTTCTAGACAACTAGTTATATCCTATTTCCCTATGTGTATTATTTCTGCAAAGACAATAGTGTCACCCACCTCTCCTTCCCAGGTTCAGCTCCCTCAGGATGAATTTCTACACTTCAAATAGAAGTAATACTGAGCCTGGAGCAAAGTTACACCCATCGTGAACCATGGCACAGTTTATGCAGGGGCAAGGGGCATTACTTCTGGATTAACATGATGGCAAAATTTACATTTCGACAAAAGACCCATCAAATTTCTAAAAATAGAAAACCATATGGATGCCTGGATTCCAGATTCTCTATTATAAAAAAATGTTTATTTCCAGGCACATGGACCTGATGCGTAAGTAGTATGTGGTCATGAATGACATGGATATCTGAATAAATAAATGAGTGAATGACTTCATCTCTGGCCTCATTTCTTGCACTCTTGAGCCCTTCACAACTTCCTTGTCAAAGGAGCATGAAGTGTTAAAGATCTGAAAAACATCTCTACAATAATAAATCCAAATAACATGTCTTCAGTCCTCATCTTCTTGAACTTTCAGCACTATGCTACAAAGTTGGTCCTCCATATCTGGAGGTTCTTCATCTATGGATTCAATCAACCACAAATAGAAATATTTGATAAAATATTTCTTATTAGTCCTTAAACAGTACAATATAACTACTTACATAGCACTTGTATTATTGTATTAGGTACTATAAGTAATAGAGATTATTTAAAGTTTACAGGAGGATATACATAAGTTATATGCAAACACTAGGCTATTTCAAATAAAGAACTTGAGCATTGTCCAATTTTGATGTTTGAGAGGACCCTGAAACCAATCCCACTCAGACACAAGGACAACTATATTATTGATTCCTCTCTTCTTTTTGCAACACTCTTCTTTGTCTTCTGTTATATCCTCATTTTCATTCTACCTCTCTGGTTGCTCTTTCCCTGACTCTTTTGCAAGTTCATCCTTCTCTAGCCATTCAATATTAGAATTTCTCAGAGCTTGGTCCTTAGCTTCTCTACTCACACTATCCTCTGTCTCTAGCAATCTCAGCTCCAATATCCACTTATTCATCTGAATAAGCCTCAAAAGCACTCTACACTCAACATGTGCAAAATAAGTCAAGTCTTTCCTCAAAATCAATTTCTCTCCTAGTGTTTCTCATATCCATAAATGACACTCCCATATAGACAGTTGTTGAAGCCAGAACTTTTCAGCCTTATCCTTGACATCTTTTTCTCCCTTATCCCTTGTCCCAATGGAAATTTGACAAAGTCTGAAGACAATTTTAGTTGTCACAAGAGAGAGGGATGCTGCTGGCATCTAGAGATTAAGGGTCGGATATGCTGCTAAACCTCCTACAGTGCATAGGACAGCTCCTACAGCAATGAATTATCTACCCCAAACCATCAATAGTGCCAAGATTGGAAAATCATAATCTAAAGTCAGATGATGAAGAAGAATGGGATAACAAGAAAGTAATGGGAGAGGTACTCATGGAAACCAAGCACGTGAGTGATGTTGCTCTTCAAACATCTTGGTTCCACATCCTTTCTATAAATAAAAGACTAGGACTCTCTTAGGCATAGGGTTACTGTAGTGCAGTGGTGAGGCAAATGAAAGGTCTGCAACCAAATAAGCATAGAAGGCTGCTGATGAGATCTTGAGAAGTATTTATAATACTTACTCCAACCCTTGAGTAAGTAACCCTTTGCCAAACCTTCAAATGAAAATCCTCACCCTTGGACAAAACCCTCAAACAAAACTACAGCTCATAGAGAGGCCCCAGTATTCAGATGTCTTCCTGACTCCTGGCTACACACAAAGATCATGAAATATCTGCTGCAATCTGCTCCCATTCTTATCCTCATGGAATTATCAGTGGGTGGGTTTAGTTAGTATCACCCTGACTCTAACCACAACAGTGGGAAAGAAATAACATGAGCATGACTTGGAATACTATCGAGGACTCACAGATATGTGTGCCCAGACAGTCAATGTCTATTAAAAATGTGTGACTTTGGGGCTACTTCTCCTTTGCCCTGCCCTCTACTTCTGCCTTGCCCATTTGTTTCCTGAGAGCAACAGCAACACGTAGGGCATGCACAAGGCAACTTACTTAAAGAAATGGTTTTCAAGAATCTACTGGATGTAAAAGCAGATGCTACCTGTACAAACGCTCCCCACATTCCCCATATTGCAGTGTACGGTGGGGAAGAGCAGGTTTTTCAAAAGCTCCTTTAGACTAAGCAATGGAATGGTTTTATAGCTCAGCTAAGAGAATGGAGAATTGAGTGAGAGTAACAGGTGCTGGTCTACAAGACCAAGAGAAGCTTTTTATTTACTCAATGTCAACATCAGGTCAAGAACTGACATAGAATCTGCAGCTACTCCCAGAGACCACTTAGCCTAGAACTGCCTATAGTAGCATATCACAGACCCTTGGGAAGTTAAGAAAATAGCAACTTCCACCAATGCACACTGTAGACCAGCTGAAAATAGGAATGCAGAAAATTACCCAGGAAGTGGCTAAATCCTAGGGATCCCTCATGCCTTAGATGCCTAGCTCATCAAGGTACTTGTTGCTTATACAGCAATAACAGGAAAAGACCCCAAAGTACAAAATACTGTGTTATTCCATGAAATGTAGATATATTTTTATTTGTACCCTTTGGCAAAAGAACACAAAGTCATAGGTTTGAGATGCAAATAAAGGGTATTCTTATTTGATAACCTGGTTTGACCTCAAGAAGCCACAGGTGACAAGACATGCCAACTCACAGAGAGTTTGTGAGACAGAATAAGACCAAAATAAGTTTGTCTCAAGATAAACAAGATGAAATGCACTAGGAATTAGTAGGGCTACCAAAGAAAACCCCACAGCATCTATGATATGTCTGATTTGAAAGTGAATTTTTTAAACTCATTGAAAGTGAAAAGCTGCTTTTGTCCTTTCAGGTGATTTCACTCACTCAGCAAATTAGCACTTCATTTGAGAATCTGACATTCTAATGCATAGTCACCATAAGTTTTAAATGATGAGTAGTACTCTTTTGACCACTGAATGTTAAAGCAATTCCCCAAATTACTCCCCACAATGCTAGTAAATTTGTTTGATCTAGGTCAATATGTCACAGGAGCACACCTTTCCTGGAGAAAGGTAGCCAAGGGGCCATTGCACCTTGCCTTTAGGTTAGGAAGTTGAGATTCTCAGTGAGAGAATTGAAAAGCCATTTGGTAGGCATAAAAGCCAATGTTTGGGGATTAGAAAAAACAGCACTGAAAACCCTAAAAATTCTAAAATCATTGGCAACCACCACAGAGCTGTAAGATACCTGAGATGAACACCCCAAGATCCAGAAAGATGAAAGTTCTCAACTAACATCAGAAGCAGAACTTGGGCAATATTTTGCTATACTAAAGCCCCCTCCCCTCATCAGGATTGGGCAATTTGCAAAAGGCAAGCCAGGAAAATTTCCAAGATGATATCTAGCTTAAAGAATTCCCCTTATTGAGACAAGAAAGGCAAAAAAGGCAGAGGGAGGGTATTTTTAAAGTGCTAAAAGAAACAAACAAATAAGCAAAACAACCTGTCAAAAGTATTGGGCAAAAGTACCCTTCAAAAGTGAAGGAGAACATAAGACAGTTTCAGATAAACCAAAGCTAAGGGCGGTTTTTGGGACCATTCTTACAAGAAATGCTTTAGGGGAAATGAAATGAAAGCACACTAGATGGAAACTTAAAGCAATATACAGAAGAACTATCACTGAAAAAGGTAACTACATAGCTAAAGGTTTAAAGTAGCATTAATACTGTATTTTGATAACTCCTCTTTTGCTTCCTGTATTATTTAAGGGACAGATGTATGAAATCATCATTATAAGTCTATTAAAAGGCATACAGTTGTGATCTGTGACATCAAGTCAGTTAAATTGTAATTAAAAAGAAAAAAAGAATTCCACCCAGTCCCAGTGGCTCACACCTATATTCCTAACTACTCAGAAAATGGAGACCTAGTTGGATCTCCATTCAAGGCTAACCAGGCAAAAAGATCACAAGACCCATCTCAACCAACACAAGCTGTATATGGAGGCATGTGTCTGTCATCCCATTTATACAGGAAGTGTAAATAGGAGGATTGAGGTCCTTGCCGGCCTGGGCATAAATGCAAAACCCTATTCAAAAAATAACTTAAGCAAAAAGGGCTGGGGATGTGGCTCAAATATCTCAAGTGGTAGAGCATCTGCTTAGCAAGCATGAAGCCCTGAGTTCAAAACTCAATAATACCGAAAAAAAAAAGAACTCCACAAACAAGCAGTCACTTTATTCCCTGCTCAGCAGAAGGCACAGATTAGGCAACAAGTCACCTGACAAATGTCTCCCTGTCCCCTAAGGTCTTCTGAGCTTCAAGGAACATGTGGAAAACAATCAGGAGGCAAACTTTGGCAATAGGTCAACAAAAGTTTAAAAGGACCTAAAGCTAGAGGATAGAATAACATGACTTTGAATCCTAAAGTCATTCTGTCACTGAGGCCACAGAAAATATGATAGCTTCATATGACATGGCTTCCAGAAGTCATTGGCTGTCCATGGCTGAAGTCATGTGCACAGATTGTGCCTTAAAGGTGAGGATTAAAGAAACTCAAGAACACATGACAACAATACATGAGGGATTCTCCTTGCTAAGGAGGTCTTTTGTTTGTTTGTTTGTTTGTTTGAACTAAGGGCCTTGCACTTGCTAAGCAGATGCTCTACCACATGAGTCACTCCACCAGCCCTAGGAGGTCCCTTCTTAACAAATAGATATGTTCATCAAAATGTGTCAAACCTGGGCCAAAAATTCAACATGGAGGACGGTAAAGAAAAATGTACCAAGTTTATTACCTGAGCATTTTGCAGAAATTGGTAAATTCCAGTTCAGTGGTGAGGGCTCAGAAAAGCCTATTCCCCCATAATACTTTCATAATGACAGCACCAATCTTGGGTTCACACAATTCAATTGCTTCACATGAAGCAAAAAAAAAGACATGACTGAGATAAACAGAATGAGTTTCTTCTAGGTTTGAATATACAATTTCAGTAGCCTCATTTCTCATGATTTTTGACCCTGAGTCAAAACTGTTGAGTGGCTTCAGCTTCCGGGTTTCCATATTTTTATATCTAGTTATTTGCTAAAGTTGTTTCATGTATCATAATTATTTTTCAAAATGGGTGAAAGAAAAGTAACTACCTCTAATCCCCCTATCCTAATTTCCCCACTTAACTTCTACCTGGCCACCTCCTCAGTGACTTCTGGAAAACAGAACTCACATTAGATTGTTTCCTCAGACAAAGTTGAACAGACTAAAAGAAAGGAAATAGTTAATAATAATAATAACATTGAACAGAAAATAGACCAGGTGAACAAAATTCTCAATATATTCAGACTGAATGTGTGGTGGAAAAGTTACATAAAAACAATACTGCTTATCTTACCCAGAAAATAGAAAGGGCCACTGTTACTAGTGAACCGTAGAAAGCCAGAACTCCACCAACCACCACCAATGCCCAAAAGGGCTTAGACTCAGGAGACAGGTGAGGAGGACAGTGATGTTTCTCTGAAAAGCAGAACAGAATGCATTAAACAAAATGGGAATGGCAATTGAACACATTTCTGTCCTTCTGAACATAGACTTGTGCTACCTAACTCCACCACTGACAGTGACTTGATTAGTTTTCAAGACTGAAGTTGTTTATTTGATATATTACAAAAACTTTTGTAAATGCCACAGTGTACCCCCAGCACAACAATAAAAAGACTAAAGTTGAAAACCATTACTTTCTGCATTCATCTGACCTTATTGAATCATCTGTGTGATTCAAAATGGTGAGTTCCAATGGCCTTAACCCAACCTCATCCCATTTCCCCATCAGATGCCAGTTAATCCTAAACTGCGTCGTTGAAATAAGTAAAATGATATATACATTTTCAAGCTTTAATAAAAGCCAAATACAGCAGTCGTAACACTGGGCTGGCAATCAGAAGATAAATGTCTAGTTTCAACTTTAACATGGTGATGAGCAAGTCACTTTATATCTTTGAGTATCAGAAATGTAATGGGAAGAAACCTATAAAAGTCCACTCAAAATCCATTTATATGGATAAAATGTTTTATTCTTAGCTTCAAAATGGAATATTTTAACCTTTGACTTAATTCTATCAATTTTTTCTTTTTCTGGTGATGGTACTGGGGATTGAACTCAAGGCCTTGAGTTCTACCATTCTATCACTTCAGCCAACCACCAGCCCTTTTTGGTTTAGTTATCTTTCAGATATGGCTTTTGTGCTTTTTGTCCATCATCAACCACAGACCTTGATCCTCTTACATATCCTCCCACCTTCAGCCTAACTAGGATTACAGAAGTATAGCTCCATGCTTGACTTGATTGAGATAGGGTCTCACTAACTTTTTGCCTAGGCTGGCCTCAAATTGTGATCCTCATGATCTCCATCTTCCAAGTAGCTGGGATTACAAGGCATGAGCCACTGTGCCCAGCCCTGCCTGGGCATCATTAATATTAGAAATTTGAATGGGACTCAGCAAGCATAATATTCTCACATTAATTGCCTCTATTTTGCCAAAAAGAATCATTTGACAAAAATGGTTTTTTCCTTATTTAGTATTCAATTTTTTTCCAGCACAGCTCTGTTTCAGGATAGGAGAAAATGCATTTATTTAAATTATGCTGGCATTAAATATAGAACTGGTCATACATTTCCTATTTATCATTCTAAATAAGTGAAAAGCTATAGCATGTCCACAAAGTGTACCAGTTATCTATCTGACTGCTTTCATTTTTATGTGTTGATACCAATAAACTACATTATAAATTTAGGAATCTTATGACTTTTCTCCCTAATGTTTAGAGAGAACATAATCTCAATGTAAGCTCAGTAGACTTATTTCCACTGATTCATGAATACTGTTTAATAATATTGAGTTCTGAACCTTCATAATTTTGGATAACTTACCCAAGTTCACACACTTGATCAATAGCAAATTTCATATCCCCTGGTTTCTAGTCCAGCATCTTTTGTATGTTTTGGAAAACGGAAAGGTACTTGACAGAGGAAGACCATGTAGCACAGAGAACTAATTTGAAATATAACTCATTCTTCCTGAGTCCTGATCCATATACCCAGTTGCTTCTTAGAGGGCACCTAGGTACATACTTTCATGGCAAACTTTTTCTAGCATGACCCTCTCAAATTGAGAATAATCTTATGTGATATATTCACATGGATTGTAACTTCATCTGACACTCCACCAGTCAATGCCAATGAGGGAAAGTAAGGTATTCAAAATATAACCTTGAATCTTTTCTATAGTAAAAGAAAAAAGTATTTGAAAAACAGGATTTGTCTTTATCAGTGTCAGATCACTTGGGACTACTCTGGACTTACCACTGATCATAGTCTAGTTTTCGGGACTTCAGTTGAAACCTTTACTTTAGGGTGGTACAGGGGTAGAGTAGCATGTTACCTTTCACATGGATTATGGTCCCATTGCTCTTCTCGTTGTCTAGATAAGGAGGAGGATACATGACCTCAATTTTGCAGAAGTAAATATCTGTCTGGTTAACATACAAATTCCGGAGGTAGAAAGTCACTGTGTCATTGCCCAAATTCCCATCACAGTTGAACCCTGTATTGGAGTGAAACTGAAGCTGATGGGAGAAATTCCCATTCACAACACAGACTTCCACGGCGTTATCCAGTCCCTTATAAAGGGATGCCCGGAACTCCTTTGAGAAGAGGTTGTAGGTATACTTGCAGCTAAGGTTGACCTCATTGTCGTACACCACAAGCAAGGGTGACTGCTTCACCAAAATCTTGTTTTCTGGAGAAAAAAAATCATTTGCTTAGAACAGGGGTATAATAATAACTTTTTGTCCCTGAAACCAAATGTATTAACCAAATGAACAGATCTCCAACAAAGGCTTTCGCTAGGCATGAAGTACAGTTTCTCTTGAAATGATAATTGTACCAAAAGTTCCAAAGCTTATGATTTTGTAATGTGCTCATCCTCCTTTGCAACGGAGCACATTTCTACCTTGAAGGCAAAATGTGGCCTTCTGTTAGCCTTGGGCACACAGCGACGCACCCAGAGCTTTTGAATCTGTACTGAGCTTCCTAAAATGTTAAGCATGCATTGGACTGATTTCCTGATTAAGTGAGACACTTGGAAGCAGCTTTAAAGCCTGACACACATGCACAGATAGATGTTTTTCAGTCATGAGACAGGTTTTGGGGGAGGAATTTAAATGTTTAGAAACATTTTTACTTTGTTTATTGGCCATTCCCAGAGTGAGATAAAGAGGTAAGAAAATATGTTAACCCAAATGCAGGAGAACACATTGACACTGTTTCCTACTCTACCCCAATGCTAGCACATGACAACAGATTCCTTCTGTCAATGACTGTATGAGGCCTAACATCAAATCGTTTGTCTGAAGTCACTGAGCAAATTGTGAGCAAAACCAGAACTAATACCCAATCAGCCACACCACCTAAGAAACAGACCACTCCAGCACTGAGAATCAACTTTGCAACCAAAAGACCCTACAGACTTTCTGAAACAGGACCTCAACTTTGCAGATTTCAGCAATCAGTTTTTTAATCTTTGGTTCAAATTTAATATGAACAAATCCATTTTCTGTATTGTTTTGGGAGTATGCTAATAATTATCTATATATTTGCATTTTTAGAAAGGTTATTTGAAGTAACACCAACACCCACATACACACACTTAAGAGCCAAATGGAATCTGTTAAAATGAAATTTGAACTTTAACCTGGTTTTAAATTTATTTACTCAGGTGTTTTGGTTTTGCTTTGAGTAGAAGGCATCTGCATAAACTAAGCCACTAAGAGCTTTTTGCCTCTTACACAGTTACCAATACCACTGTAAATGAAGAATTTTATAAAGAAAACCAATGTCTAGGTCTTCCCATTCCCAGATATTCTGATTTAATTGGCATAGGCTAGGGATGGGAGGTATTGACATTGGGGATATTTTTGAGCAACTTTATTGATATACAATTCATATACCATAACACTCACCTTTTTAATGTTTGTAATTCAGTGTTGTTGTTGTTGTTTAGTATAATTAAAGTTGTGGATGGTCACCATTATCTGATTACAGAGTATTTTCATTACCCCAAAAGGAAACTCATTAGCAGTCATTGCCCATTCCTCCCGCCAACCTCTCGCAACCACTAATTTACTTTCTGTGAATTCCATCTTTTTTGCCTATTTTATTTTATTTCTATGTATTTACCTATTGAGGACATTTAATATAAATGGACTCATACAATAGGTGGCCTTTCATATCTGGCTTCTTTCACTTAGCATAATGTTTTAAAGACTCATCCATGTTGTAATATGTATCTGAACTTCACTAGTTTTTATGGCCAAATAATATTCCCCTGTGTGGCTATACTACATTTTGTTTTTCCATTCACCACTTTTGGTCTATTACAAAAAATGCTACTGTGGACATTTGTGTATAGGCATTTATGCAGATTTATGTGTGTACTCTCAGGTACACACAAGGAGTGGAATTGCTGAGTAATACAATAACTATATTCAGCTTTTTGAGGACTTGCCAAACAGTTTTCCAGAGCAACAGCACCACTTCACAAACCCCGCCTGCAGTGTATGCAGGTTCTAATTTCTCCACATCCTTGCCAACACCTGCTGTTATATCTCTTCTATTACAGCCCTAGCCATGTGTGTGAAGTGGTATCTCATCATGGCTTGATTTGTACTTTTGTAATGATTAATGATTTCACCATCTTTTTATAAGCTTTTTAGCCATTTGTGTATCCTTTTAAAAGAAATGTCTATTCTGATCATTTTCCCACTTGTGAACTGATTTTTCTTTTATTGCTGAACTATCAGAGTCCTTTTATATTTTTGAAACAAGTTCTTTATCAGATATTTCCAGGCCAGTTAATTCAGAATCTCTGGGTATAAGACCCAGGCATAAGGTTTACTAATGTTGTTCAGGTGTTTCTAAATCAAGTTTGTGAAACAGTAAATCTAACCTAATTTCTTATCCTCAAATCCGTAGGCCTCCACAGGCTTTCCAACTTTATTTTCTCAAACTAAAACCTTCCTAATAAGCTAGGCCATTTAAGTCAACATCCCTGGAACACAGATGAGCACCCCCACTTCCACGCTTCATCTACTAGCTCCATGGCCCAGAATCTCACTCACTTCTCCGTCTCTCAAGACAACAATTTGTCTCTATCACTCTTTTGCCATTTGGTCAGGATTTATCTCTTTAACACTTCATTTCCTATACTTCAATTTGTTTATCTTTTCTTCACTCTTGTGTATTTTTTCTACGCCTAGTTTCCAAGTCTCTTGGCAGCAAGGACCATATGTTACACTTCTTTGTAGAATACTGTGAGACTAATAGGATCTCATTAAATAATTGTTGAGTGAAAGATGGTGATCTGACTACATCATTGCTATGAGCAGCTAGGTCTTCACCACCATCTCTTTAAATCCTTGTTTAAAACCTGTGTGTCCACAACTTTAGCTTCATTTCCAATTCATTCAATAAATACTCTGAAAAAGCACTGAAAAGTGAACTTGTAAAGAATTTAAAAGTTTAGCTTGTCAATATGAAAATCTAACTTGTTCTCTGTTTTTATTTGTTTAGCTCTTTTCTTCATTTACCCTGATGGAAAGAGTAAAAAATGCCAGCAGACCACCTGCATTTCAGAGAGTACAGGTTAGGAACTTGTATTTCTGCTCACTGAGCCCCCTGGAAACTGTTTCTGTAGCTAATTCTTTGTATTTTGTTTTAATGGGCATTCACATTCTTTCTGATCTGACTGCTGATTTCAGGGAAAAGATGAGAATAGGACTTTGTGAGGATAAAAAAGGAGAGTGGGTGGGGAAACCGAGTGAGACTGGAGAGAAACCCCAGATGGTTACCCAGTTTGGCTTCCTCCTCCCCTCACCCAGTGAGGTGGAGTTCCTTAGTGTGTCTTGTATAACTCAGGGTGTGACACCTTCCCAAGACACGCACTGGAGATAACGTTCCAAAAATGAACTCCTTGGGCAGATTACAGTCTAGTGAGAAAAAAAAGATATATACAGACAACTAGTTTTTAAGTAGTGGCACAGTGATCTTCAGTTTCTGGGGGCAACTAGGAAGCCAGATAAGCACCTATAGAGATCACTGCTGGCCTGAGATGCAAAGAATGATGCATACCTTGATTTGACACTTTTGAAACCAAGTATAAGTAGTCTGGGTAAGATAGGTCATTATGTTGGAGACTGGGGGGGAAGGTGGAGTAGTATGTCGAGGTTCAACCTGAGTTAGGACTGTGGAGAGGAAAAGAGAGCAGTCTAGGCAAAGAAGATGAGAAAGAGTCTGGCAGATGTGGAGAATAACAGCTACCTCAGTTTTGTTGGATCATGAGTTGTGAAAGATGAGATTGGTAAAGCAAACATAATTCACCATATTATAAAGGTTGGTCTTTGTCCTGCAGGTGACAGGGATCTACTGAAGGCTTTTAAGTAGAGAAGTAGATGTACACCACTTTTCATTTTATATAGATCACTTTAGAAAAATGAGGAAAGTAAATTTGGAGGGTACAAAGAGTAAAAGCATTGATACCAGGTAGGAAGTATATGTAGTGGTCTAGGCAAGAGGTGAGAGGGACTGAACTGGTTTGAAAGAAGTGGATGAAGTTGAGAAATGTTTACAAGCTAACATTTGCAAAACTTGACATTGACTTAGGTATGGTGAGTAAGAAAGGAGGAGGAGTTAAAAATGACTTCCTGAGGTCACAGGGCCCTATCAACATGTAGCTATTTTCCTTTTGCCTGTATCTCTTCTTCACTCAGCTCTTTATTACATCACCAGAATAGACAGCTCAGAAACTGAGGTAAAATTTAGATATCTGGGGTATGAAGAAGATATCTTTCCAGACTCAGGGATCATTGCAAAGAAAAAATATAATTTACCTCAGAGGTTAGTGGGAAGAGTTGACTCTGGAATTTCTTCCAGTGTTGGCTGTTTCTCAGAAAGGAGAAGCAGCAGTCTTTCTCTTCTGAAACTACTTTCCTTCATAAGGTGGAGTATAGTGAGATAACTGGAAAATAGATTCCCCTCTATCCATTATGGGGCCTCCAAATTCAAATCTTAGTGTGGCTGAGGTTGATTGGATTTCTTCTGAGCCCAATTGACCTCCACACAGCAAATCAAGAACTTTTCTCAGGAAGGAGAAATCCAAGACCCCTGTACCAAAATTATTTATTACATATTCGTTGTTCGGCTAATAAAAGCTCTTGATTTGGGGGTGAAGGCTGTGTTGGGTTTTTTGTTTATCTGTTTGTTTGTTTGTTTGTTTGTGTGTTCAGGCTGCCCTCAAACTCTAGATCATCCTGCCTCTGACTCCTGAGTGCTGGGATAACAGTTATTTGCCACCAGGCTAACATATCTCTTGGTTTTTTTTTAACATATATATTTATTTATGTCCTATAACACTTGGTCCCACCCAATAGTTACAAAGAGCCTAACTGAGAAACTATCTCACAGGACCTCAAAATCTACATCTGCTTTGGAAAGACACTAAATGAAAGAAATTTATTTTTAGTGACAAAGTAATATTGAATATGTGTGATCATATGCTTTCCATCACACACAATAATTCTCACTCCTTTTATTTTCTCTTAAAAATGAGCATGTGTGAAAATTTACAGCCCTCACTCCATGGGAGTGAAGTATACATAAATCAAAGCAACAGACAACCAGAACATCAAATGACAGTTGGTTTGGATATGTATTTGGTTCTCTGAGTTCCTGGGAATCCACAGT